AGGTCTTAGTACTGAACGGTTTTTTCTGGACTTATGTTGCCTTCTGGAGTCTCGACACTCATGTTTTTGGTCATCGCTTCTATGAATTTCTCTCACGTGTGCTCAACTTGGCTTTGTGGCTACAGTTGCGCTTGCTAAAACTGCCTTTTCTTGTGTTCCCAAATCATCCGCAGTTGACGAGTTAAAATTGACGTCGTGGGAGATCCATCACCATCGTCTCATTGAATACAAAGGAGACTGGATAAAGATAGCCTATTTTGAGGATGAACCAATAGAAGAGCGCTGCGGCTGTTGTCTACAGTGGAGAGAAAGTGAAATCTTAGTGAAATCTTATAGAAGATCGAATTGTTCGTTAGGATCTGGCCGTCTCAACAAGTGTCGGTATATACCCCAGCGAACTGCAGTTCTGACGCTGATAAGGGTACTTTCTATCTCGACTTATCCGGGCTCATTTATCAGCCATCGTCATCGTCATTATCATCAATATCATCGGCAACATAACATCAGTGTTCAACACTGGTGCTTCGCTGCTGCACAAGAATCACCGGCCTTTTTATCCTTGCGGCCGACATGAATACCCAACTTCCTCGAAGTTGTTTGTCTTCTTCATTCTTGTGAACTAACAAGTCTGATTGATACATTATCAAAGAGGATATAACAGGATTTCTATCCGAATTAGGAGGGCCTGGGTAGCTTTTGTGGATCCGCATTGCCTGTGGTGCTGACGTAATATCAACTTATCTCTCAACTCTTAATGTTGCAATTCTGCAGTGCGCCCCATACGGCTATGTGAGTCGGGAGCCTGGTCGCTGAGCGCGGAGGATATAAAAAAACTTTGAGTGTTTGGTCATCAATGTCTTCGGATCATTGCCCAGGTCTGGTAGGAACACTGAATCAGTGATGTTGAAGTGTGCTGAATGGTTGCCAGAAGAAATAACTCGTCAGTTTTAGACGTACTGATCACACCATATAGCTTGCGCTGACTTCGTTTGCTAGCCGGCCAACTTCCTCGAAGAGCTTTTTTTACACAACGACATGAAGGGTAGAAGCGAGCCACAGGTGGTTAAGTAATGACTTGGCAGCGAATTATGGAAGCTATTACCGAAAAACTCAGCCGCGCTGATCATCGTCATCTCCTTGTTTGGGGACCACGAGCCCGTGCAATGGTCAGAAACATCGTCAGACATGGTCCAGTCACACACCCAGTGGCTCATCTAAGTTGTTGCCTTCGGTGCCTAGGTTCTCACCCAGAATTCAACGAAAAGTCCTTTGTCTTCACTCATCAATTATACCACCTTCCACCAACAATACATGGCTATCTGCCCATGCCTCTCCAGATGTGCCAGCCATAACCGTTGCACTGGAAGTACGCGGTTTTTAATGCTGAAGATGATGACAGATGGCCTCCCTGCTGAATACAGTAAAGAGCGATATGGAGTAACTTGGTTTCCACGGGGCACACGGAATTCATCCCTGGACCTCACACTAGATCACGATTTGTGGAGAACTGGCAGCCGGTCGCCATGCATGGGCAGCATGTATTCGGATTACTTTTGAAGCCTCTTTATCCCGTCTCAGGACGTAGTCGTCCGAATTTGAAGGGAGGTCGCCGTTCAAACTGAATGCCCACATATGCACCAGTGGATAATGTTGCAAACTCGAGGTTGAGCGCCCCGGCGAATTACCCTGTATCTTTGAGCTGACGCCTCCAGTCATCTCAACTGCTGGTTAAGGTTCCCGACTGACTTTTCACTCGCAAGGTAAACTCTGTATTGCTATCAGCATGAAGAACACCTTAGAAGTGGCATGTCTGTTTTGACATCTGGCCCGAACAGTTCTCGTGATAAAACTTGAATGCTCTGGACAGCCCGCTTCAATCTGAATCACTCGGGCGCTCAAAGGCGCGATCCCTTAGTGCATGGTTTCCTTTCCGAAAATCCCGAATCAGAAGTCTACTGCCATCTCTGGATTTGGACTGCAACAATATCCTCTACTGTATTCACTCTGTATCCGTCCACTTCTACCTCAGACCATTGGCGAACGGGACGTTGGCACCCATAATCACTATGACATACATACGGTCTGCATCTGATGTTGTTTGTTTGAAAAGATTTGGATGAATCGGCTCGTTCAATTAGAAGCGTCATCATGATAATCGACAGCATGACATGTGTTCAACACCGATGCTTTGTTACCGTACAACTATGATTTATTTGAAAGCCTTATTGTGAAGAAAAATAAAGGTGGACGGGTAAGGGACTTGGTGCTAGCCTACAACAATCATTCCGAGGTGCTTACACCTCGAAACTCTCATTCAGGTGATCTAGACAGAAACCGTTAACAAGATCGTCATTGACATCAGTTGGCAGCCATATCTTGCAGCGTCTCTAACCAGGCTCAGTGAGGATCATGCAGTCCCCATTCTAAAAGGCGAGTAGCACCGACACCATCCAAACATTTCGTGATTTCTTTCAAACCCCTCTGTCAGGTCAGAGGTTGGCTACCTCTCTGATTCCACATCCCTGAATTGGGCGTGGAAAACAGCACTCTCTTCGATAAACGATGGTTCGTCATACGTAACACATGTCCCAACCAACGCAGCTTCTGGTGCTGGACACACTTCAATGGAAGCACCCGTTGCACAACCGAAAGCTCGCTTTCTAATTGCCTTGTTACAGATACGCCGGCGCCAACCAACACGAGCTATGGTTCTGAGACAACGATTTTCGAACACTTGAAGACGTCTCAGTTCCGCTGCTCGAACAGGCTAAGTCTCACAGCCATACAACAAAATCAACTTGCCGCTTGTGAGACTCCTTCAGAGGCGTTGCCAAACGCACTGCACAGAGGCGACTATCAACAGGTATCCGGTCAAGCAAGGATACTTCCGGCTGGTGACTTGGGACAATACTAAACCTTGCTCATCCCGCTGCAGCAGCCTCTGGATCACCAAGGTTCGGAGCCGGAAGTGAGTAGAGACCGGTGAGGTGGTTAGCTCAGTTAATGTGCTTGCATCTTGAATTCTTGTTTCTGAAACACAGCGCACAATGCCAAACGAGTCCAGTGTGAAAACAAGAGCAGCTTGTCGTCCTGCTTGCTTCAGAGTGCGGACATTGAGGGCGGCCAGGTAGCAAGGGTGTCGAGGTTTGACGATTGATGTGGAGACATCTGAGGATGTTGGTACCATGTAACGAGCAGACCTCGTACGCAAAACCGATGCAAGTTGAACGGAGTCATGAATCTTAAGTGCTCGGAAGAAGTATGTGAAAGATAAAGAATGGAGGCGTCAATAGTAGCCTCTTTTCGCCTAACCGCCCTGCTGTATGCAGTGAGTGAAGCGACCTGGCTAATGGCACCACGCGACGGCTGACGTGGCATGAGTTTACTGTTAGACGTAGGTATGGTTGTACGTGGGCTAGGGTACTGTCAGGGCACCCACACATAGTCAGATGGACGATTAAGGTCCTCAAGCAAAGCCTTTGGCTAAAAACCCAACAGCAAGGCAGCGGTGGTGGGCTGGAAATGCAAACGCAATACCATTTCTGGGGAACAAGTCGCCACATGTTCCAACCTTAAACCTAGAGGACCGGGAGGCTGTGTTCTTCAGACCCCTAACCATTAACCAACTTAGTATGAGAGACTGAGTCTCGCGGGACACCCCCAGTATAGCTCACTGGGTCTCTGAGGTGCGCAAACCGTCATACCACGGTAACGAGGTCAGAAGCCCACGGCGTCCGAAGGACAACACTGAAGAATAGCAGCTAAACCGCGTAGTATCTCAGTCGGTGGGTAAGTATCGTCAGAATATATAATGACTGGGGAGGGGTTTTTGCAAAAGAAAGCTAGTTGAGAAAATTGAAGATAGTGACCTGAAAAACCAAAGACAGCAAAAGACGGCACAGCGTAATCTGATGGATTGATTTAAAAATAAATCAAGGCCGTGGGCTGTATTGCCGTCGTGACCAGAAGCACGGGTTGGAAAGAAACTAAACTGTGTGGGAGTTGATGAGGAAAAGAACTCGGGCTCGCCTACAACAATCATTCCGAGGTGCTTACACCTCGAAACTCTCATTCAGGTGATCTAGACAGAAACCGTTAACAAGATCGTCATTGACATCAGTTGGCAGCCATATCTTGCAGCGTCTCTAACCAGGCTCAGTGAGGATCATGCAGTCCCCATTCTAAAAGGCGAGTAGCACCGACACCATCCAAACATTTCGTGATTTCTTTCAAACCCCTCTGTCAGGTCAGAGGTTGGCTACCTCTCTGATTCCACATCCCTGAATTGGGCGTGGAAAACAGCACTCTCTTCGATAAACGATGGTTCGTCATACGTAACACATGTCCCAACCAACGCAGCTTCTGGTGCTGGACACACTTCAATGGAAGCACCCGTTGCACAACCGAAAGCTCGCTTTCTAATTGCCTTGTTACAGATACGCCGGCGCCAACCAACACGAGCTATGGTTCTGAGACAACGATTTTCGAACACTTGAAGACGTCTCAGTTCCGCTGCTCGAACAGGCTAAGTCTCACAGCCATACAACAAAATCAACTTGCCGCTTGTGAGACTCCTTCAGAGGCGTTGCCAAACGCACTGCACAGAGGCGACTATCAACAGGTATCCGGTCAAGCAAGGATACTTCCGGCTGGTGACTTGGGACAATACTAAACCTTGCTCATCCCGCTGCAGCAGCCTCTGGATCACCAAGGTTCGGAGCCGGAAGTGAGTAGAGACCGGTGAGGTGGTTAGCTCAGTTAATGTGCTTGCATCTTGAATTCTTGTTTCTTTAACACAGCACACAATGCCAAACGAGTCCAGTGTGAAAACAAGAGCAGCTTGTCGTCCTGCTTGCTTCAGAGTGCGGACATTGAGGGCGGCCAGGTAGCAAGGGTGTCGAGGTTTGACGATTGATGTGGAGACATCTGAGGATGTTGGTACCATGTAACGAGCAGACCTCGTACGCAAAACCGATGCAAGTTGAACGGAGTCATGAATCTTAAGTGCTCGGAAGAAGTATGTGAAAGATAAAGAATGGAGGCGTCAATAGTAGCCTCTTTTCGCCTAACCGCCCTGCTGTATGCAGTGAGTGAAGCGACCTGGCTAATGGCACCACGCGACGGCTGACGTGGCATGAGTTTACTGTTAGACGTAGGTATGGTTGTACGTGGGCTAGGGTACTGTCAGGGCACCCACACATAGTCAGATGGACGATTAAGGTCCTCAAGCAAAGCCTTTGGCTAAAAACCCAACAGCAAGGCAGCGGTGGTGGGCTGGAAATGCAAACGCAATACCATTTCTGGGGAACAAGTCGCCACATGTTCCAACCTTAAACCTAGAGGACCGGGAGGCTGTGTTCTTCAGACCCCTAACCATTAACCAACTTAGTATGAGAGACTGAGTCTCGCGGGACACCCCCAGTATAGCTCACTGGGTCTCTGAGGTGCGCAAACCGTCATACCACGGTAACGAGGTCAGAAGCCCACGGCGTCCGAAGGACAACACTGAAGAATAGCAGCTAAACCGCGTAGTATCTCAGTCGGTGGGTAAGTATCGTCAGAATATATAATGACTGGGGAGGGGTTTTTGCAAAAGAAAGCTAGTTGAGAAAATTGAAGATAGTGACCTGAAAAACCAAAGACAGCAAAAGACGGCACAGCGTAATCTGATGGATTGATTTAAAAATAAATCAAGGCCGTGGGCTGTATTGCCGTCGTGACCAGAAGCACGGGTTGGAAAGAAACTAAACTGTGTGGGAGTTGATGAGGAAAAGAACTCGGGCTCGCAGCAGGATCGTCTTGGCAGTAAAACGGGAGAAATTCACTTCTATGGACGTTGAAGTTGCCGAGAATGCAAACCTTCGTGTTGCCGTCGGACTGAAGTCAGATATTCAGGTATTTGTGTGTAGCTGCTGTTTAGAGAAGACTAAAGGAAAGATGCATCATCACCTTTCGGAGATTCATAGACACAGCAAAAATGTTTGCATGTTGTAAGTTGAATTTCATCCGAGACAGGTAGAAGTCGGTCATACAAGAGTCCAGAGCAGGAAGCCAAGAAACATGAGGAACAATGTATGTACACTCTATCCCTAAAGCTGAAACCGAGAAAAACAAAAGCTGAGAAACTGCAGGTTAGTGAGGTCACGAGATAATGAGTTTTGGGGCACTCTGATTTGCCAGTAGACAGTTGTTCCTTAGGTTCCTAGCAAGTAGGTTGTAAATAGACAAATGTATCGGTTAGCTGAGTTACTGACAGGTTCCAACTATCAATGGTCCGTTGAGTGCACGGGTTTTCTAGTGGCTCTGCTCCTATAGGTTACGGGAGTCAAATGTAATAATATTGTCATTTTCTTTTGGGATCATTGTCTATGTTCCAACTCACATTCACCTTTTCCAGATAGCCGGATGCATGTTTTGAGGTATTGAGTTAGCTTATTCAGATTCACTGGTCGTCTCTCATGTTGACTGAAGACCTGGATACTCGGGCGATTATTCCGTATGTATCTTGTTGTACCTCCACATAGTTATTCGATCAACCTTTTAGATCGCGCAAGCGTCCCCGGTGGGTTTTCCCGCTTATTGCTTCGGTTCTTTCGGCTGTGGGTGGACTGCTGTTTGGCTATGATACTGGTGTGATCTCTGGTGCAATGATACAAATTCGGCAGCAATTTTCCCTTTCCTATTTCTATCAAGAATTGATCGTAAGTGCTTGCTGAAGGTGCTGAATGACCGAGTCATAGGTGAGTGTAACGCTGGTCTCTGCCGCTGTTGCTGCTTTGAGTTGTGCTTGGCTTACCGACTGGCTTGGAAGAAAACCGATTATCATAGGCGCGAGTGTCATTTTCACTGCTGGTGCTCTCACCATGGGTGCCTCCTTCACCAAAGAGTTGCTCTTGATCGGTCGACTTATTGTGGGAGTTGGAATTGGTAAGACGATGTCATTTCCAGTTTTAATTTCTTGTTATTTATTTTGTTGGAAAGGCATGGCTTCGATGACCGTTCCTGTGTACATAGCCGAAATCGCCCCGAGTCACATGCGCGGTACTCTGGTCACCTTGAATACTGTATGTATAACTGCAGGACAGGTGATTGCTTCCGTTGTTGATGGCCTATTCATGAGCGACGTACGCAATGGCTGGAGGTGAGTTTTCTTTAAACTATAAGGACCCCTAGTGAGAAATAATCGCATGTTGCCTTTCGTTTCACCCTACATGGTTTTTATTTTTCTAATATTCCAAGCCCCTGAAGTAATTCGTGCAAAAGTACTGCTCGTTACTCACTGTTCGGGGCTCGAACTTTTCTTTGAAAGTTTCACAGGCCTTCATCTATATGCGGCCAAATGCAGGCAAATGAACTATCTTAAATTTTGGGCAAAAATTTTGCGGTGTTACTTGGTTTCAGACAGTTTAACCATGGAGAACATCGGGCTCAGCGCAAAGCAGTAAAATGGTAGGAATTTTAATGTAGATGATGTTGGGCACTAAGGTAACATTCCGGTTTTGAGATGTCGCGAAACGTTACGCGAATTATCGTGCGCTTCGTCAGCCAGCGGTCTTCGTTTTGGAAGAGATTTGTGAGGTTTGTGGGAAATTCTGAGTAGTCAAGGTAAAGCAGCGGAGTGCCCTCAACTGGACCCATGTTGGTCTTACGTTATTACCTGTGCCACAAAAAGCCGGCGTAAAGCAACAAATTCTCTACGTTGGCTGGGTGTCGGTCATCATAAATCTGGTTTTGCTCCGAATTGATTTCATCACTGAATGAGTCCATTTTCTTTCAGCTAATTGCTTTTCCAGACGACACCTTTACAAGTCTCCTGAAGTTTGGCTTTCTTCACCCAGGCAGAAAATGCCCCTGGGATCCTTCAAGATATTCATTAGATTAATGTGGCGAAGTAATGATGCTTGCTCTTGGGGGCGACGGGTGACCAGGGCGATTTTGCCGAATGTTAACACTCCATGTGTGCCTGTATATCTCGGATCGCGAAGCTCTCATTCATGCCAGTTGCTTGATCGACTAGAGCCGTGTTTGGTATGGATAGGGTACAGCAACACTTTTCGTTCTGGGAGATGAAAGGGTCAGCTGTAGTGTTACCTGATTATTTCGGCTTGGTCAGCCCAGTGTTTCCAACGGGTTTTGTGACATCTGATGTACCGGAAGCATATAATTATTGAGCGATTTCAACCGAATATTTCTTCTGACAGAATTGCATTCTTTTTCTGGAAGTGCACACTTTTAAGCCTATGGGTACGGAATTCATCTTCACAGTTACTTTTGGTATGAATAAAAAAGTAAAGTGAAGTGAATAAACATGGGCTTAGTGGCTTTTTGAAGTGAAATTCTACGGTGACAGCGGACTGAAAGATGTAGTCCAATTTTAGCTTCTGGTGGCTTGCATTACTTGCGGTGGATGTTATTTGTGGCACTGTAGAACATCCAGCATAAAAGCAAGTGAAAACCACTGTATGCAATCAATATGAACTGCTGGTCCCTACTCATCAACTTTAGTCTGTTCTCTTCTGTGCTAGAAACTCTGTTGTTGAAGCCTGTAGTTCGCGCCCATGATAATAGTGCTCATTTGCGTTCTTCTGCTATCATAGCTACTAACCATGAAACCTTGTTTTCTACGCTCTCGCTAATTTCTTTGAAACTAAACAACCGCTTTTTGATCCGTTAGCTCTAGACTAGCACTAGACTGCACATCGTAATATCCCAATAGTCAGCGAGCAAGTTGGTCACAGACACCGATATGTGTTAATGTGAACATAAATGTGCTGGTGTCTTTCTTTTCATTTTGATCGCACTGTGATGATGTCTTCGTTAGGTGTAGAAACATTGGACGGGTACGTGTAAGCGGTGGTGATGGAGGGCTATCACTGGGTGTAGCATAGTCACGCGAATCACCTAAGTTTCTGCAGTGGGTATGATGATGATGGGTATGGTTAATACCACGGCCAATCACATACCATTATTCACCCCCTTCCCAAGAAATCAGTGCACATAATCTATTGGTAGTTGACGTACATGCGGCAGCTACTCTTCTACAAGTGCTTCCAGGCTACCCCCTTAAGGGGGAGGGTAACACATGCGTAACACATGCGGTTTTGTGCCATGATGAATTTGTTCTCTTGGAAACAGTCACTTTTGTGACACGCTTCTGAGCAGCAACGTCCGGCACGGGGCCAAATGTGCTACTGTTGATGAGCAGGTGAAACCGATGTGAACACAAAATAATAAGACTGGCGGGAAAGCTCGCGCAGGCCTGTTAAGATCTATCGCCCGGCCTAAGCATTACAACGAATACCAGCACCGTACCAGAACATGAGGTACTGATGCCGTCCGTGACATTCTTTACCATACTTCAGTTGCACAGTAACATGCAATCGTTTGCTGGGGGCCGCCTATGTCGAACCATTTCGGTTGTCTTAGCTAACTACGTGGTACAGATATAGTAGGGACATAGTTTCGTTTGTAGGCAATTGGTAATAATCTACCCGAACGTATCTATCGATGCTGATCAGACTTGGAAGCACCGGCTTTTTGCAAGTCTTATTTCGGTCATTCAGATATGTCTGCAGGCTTGACAGTTGTAGTGTCACACTTGTGTAGATGTTCAAACATTCGTTTCGAGTCGCTCACGAATGAGTCGCATATGTCCAAGTATCAATACACGTCAAGTCTCGAAGTTTGCCATGCATGCATGTATGATTTCTCCAGGTGCTTTTGATCACTGTCCGATTTTATGCTCTGAGTCAAAAACCAAGACTCTTGCACTCATCCGAAGTATGACTGTACATTGTAGTTTCGGTCTTTCTCGGCATCCCAGAGTATTCTTCGGCTGCCAGTATGGTTGTGTGGGAATGCGATCACGCGGCATGCCTTTCACATGGCCTAACAAGTGCAGCTGGTTGTGAATCAAGTTATTGTGGGTTCCGTACATTTCTTAGGCGAACTGACAGTACTTCAGCCCTTATTCTTCCTTCGGGTGGTGTGATAACTGTGCACTGAAAGGGTGTTACAGCGGCTCGATTATTATTATCATTATTTATCAATTTCTAGTGCCGCCCTTTCGGCCTGCCGAGCTCTCATCCATTGAGACCAACAGCTTGTCATTGTCATTGTGTGATCTCAATGGTAGTATCAGCGGTTTACGAGCAGGAGGCGCTGCTCCTAGTTCACTCATAGGCTCGTAGGTGCAACAACACAGCGTCTTGTGCGTGCAATTTTAGCTAAGTGCCATGAACTGCTGAAGAAAATTGGTCATCGGAGGTGTAATATTCTTGGTTTCGATTCTGTCATAGATAGATTGCTTGATTACTATAATGTAAACATTCGAATCCTCTGAAGCTACTTTTGCGTAGGGCCTAATGAAATGAAACGTGTTCATTACCGGAAGAGTCATGATATAACTTGCATCCATATTTTAGTGGTATCTGGATAAGCCATTTGGAGATCAGAACAAATCCAGGTTCAATCTCATTTCTGACGAATTCCAGGAAACATGTTGGCTGCTATGTGCTTTAGTTTCCTCCCTTCTTTTAGGGAGCTCCTTTCATTTAATTATATGATTTCTTATTTCAGATACATGTTGGCTCTTGGTGGTATTCCGTCTTTCATCCAATTTTTCGGTTTCCTGGCGATGCCGGAAACTCCTCGATGGCTGGTTGAACGAGGTCGCATCGAAGAGGCCCGGGCTGTGCTAATGCGCATCGATGGGGAACAGGAGTCGACCAGTGCTATTGAAGCTGATCTACAACGAATGGTGAGTGCAACGAGAGTGGGTGCTAGGCGAAATGCCCCAAGCAATCCATTTCACTCGCCACCAAGTCCTCAGGGCAATGGTGAAGTTGCATATTCCGATTGGCAAGCAGTTGACACTTCGAGCAATGAAGTTCAGACCTCTGAACAGGATGCAGATTCGTTGAAGACAAGTACGTTCACTTACTTTTTTTTCATTCACAGAAGTCTTTTTTTGTGCGATCTTCAAGAGGGGGTGGAAACGTTTAGAAAAGGCTTGGAACCGATCAAAAAGCTATCATTTCAGAGGGCTTCGGTAGACGATCGGTAGGTTTTAATTGGGTAACATTTCGCTTTTGACACCAAAGCCTCATCAAGCCTAGTGAGCAGGTCACCCAATTGATCAGGTTTTAAGGCAGGCCTGTTCACTTGGCTTGATGAAGCTTCTGTGCCAAAAGCGATTGTTTACCAAACCCTTCTGAAAAGGTACAATCTTTCTTTTGCACTCTCAACCCCACTGAAACCTACACATTATCTCAGCTCTCTTTTGGTATTGTAGCTCAGATTATCGGTCTGTTCTCCTTAACACGCTTGCGCAGCAAGGGCTGCCGCTAAAGTGAGTAAGTGTTAGGAGTCGCTTGTATTCTCAGACTTGCGGGCATGTTGGGGTACATGGGGAGCTCTCCAAAAGCTTCTGTACAGAAAGTGGTCGCCGACAGAGATTCCCACTTGTTCCATACCTATTCAATTTTGTGAGCAACAAGAGACCGAGATGTTCGCTAGAGAATTCTCAGAACCCCGGTTCAAATAGCTGCTGACGAAAACGTTGTGTGTCTTGTTTATGCGGAAGACATCTTTGCCTTCGAAAAGGAAAAGGAAGTGCATGTTCTTTGGTGCTCTGATTATCGGCATACTTTTCTTTGGCATGGACTTTGTGCACCCACACAGTATAAGGTCATTCTCCCGGACGTGTAGTCATTAAACACGCTAAAAGCTGTCTTGCTTCAGTCATTCATTGCTCATGCTGAAGCATTGTTTGTCTGAAAGTGTGCTGTTTTCCGTACCCAGCTTACAGTGACCCAAGCAGAGAGATAGTCAACTTTGAACAGCGAGACGGAAACGTCTTAGTGCTGTCGGTGCCACTCCCTTTCTGGGATGGTGTCCGTGTGATCCCCACTGTGCATGGTTGGAGACGCTGCAAATATGGCTGTTAATCGATATCCTCGGCGTTCTTGTCGGTTTCTATCCAGATGATCTGAATGCGTGTACGGAGGTGTAGGTACCTTGGAACTATTGTGTTTGGCTAGAATTGATCCCGTTACCCACCAACTTTCACTCTTCCCTTCACAATAAGCCTTTCAAATAAATGATGGTTGTACGGCAGTGATTAGGCTGTCGGTAATTTTACAATATTGTACCACTTCGGTTCATCATATGAAGCACATTTCTGACTGGATTTCACGTGGTCCTCATTACATGCGGTTGAATACCTTAGAGAACGTGACGGGAAGAGAACACTGCTAATAAAAAATCGTCCAGCTGTGGCGCCCAACTCCCATGCCACCAGAAGAAAGCAAGAGGGCTGGGATCTGGTTGCCCTAGCCTAGACAGGGGAAGTCGAGAGGTAGAGGTCGGCTTCGAACCACGAACCTTCCAGTCAATAACCATTGAGCCATCTCGCCCCCAAAAACCGTTCGGCTGTAACACCCTTTCGGTAGCTAGCTGCCGTGCTACCTTAAGGAACCACGAAGGCTGGGATACTGCCAGTTTGCCCAAGTCTGATCAGGGGAAGTCGAGTGTCAGAGGTTGGGTTCAAACTATGAAACTTCCGGTCAGTAAATTCGCGCTCTAATCACTGAGGCGTCTCCGCCATCACTGCTAGTTAGGCAGACTATGCAGACTGCGTCGGCTTTGTGTTTGGTTGCGTTCGTAAATATGTAGGATTTGTGAAATCCAATGACCGATTGCGTGCCAATACAAGATTTTTCTGATATAGTGTTCTATTTTTCCACTGTCTAGGCTTTTTGCGTTTAAGACTTGACAATTTTTACTCCCTCGTTTGCATGTGTTCATGTATCCATATGTTTACAGCGCGGTCAATTATTTTACAGGTTCATACATCTTGATTTACAGGTCGGTTAAATATTATGCAGTTTCACACATCTTATTTGGCGTCCAAGTATTTATATTCAGTACTCGTTCGTGACTCTTATCCTCCATTACTCTTATTCTAGTCAGTTTCCCCCGGAGAGGCATGAGTTGGCTTCAAGGATCTCTCGTATCCCTGTTACCCATGAGACTAAAGTTGGACCTTGCGCAAGAGTGATGCTCCAGTACCGCACTGTTTTTGTTCTACAACGCATTTATAGTCTGCATGGCTAAACGTATACTACAAGGTAAAGGGAAGCGTGTGAACAGCTGAACCCTCAGAAAGGCCACTGGGTCTTTGTTTGATTTATCCATCCACTGATCTAGGTTTGGTGTCTTTTCAAGTTATGTACCTAGACTGAACATGTCCAAGCGCGATCCGCAAAGCAACGGAGTTTCTTGGTTGCGGACGACGGTCGTTCCGTTCGCATGCCAGTTCTGCTAGAAGTCTATGTTCTTCTTGTGGAGCAATAGCTCTCATCTTTCCTTGTTGGTTACTTGTAGCACCTTGTAGAAGGTCCAGTTGTCAGCCTCGGTGGCATCGCCGCCGGACTCCGTCGGCTAACACTGACGCACCACAGTGCGAAGGTAGGATCCGGGATGTTATTCCACATTAACCCTTTTAAATGTGAGACTGATTGTTCCTGTCTCGACACTGAATTTACGGCGGCACCATTGGGAACCACTTCTCCCTACTTTTGACCAAACGACTCCGATGATTCTGTTCTATGATTATTGTAGCTTCACGTTTGGACGACTTTCCATAACGCAATGCTCTCTTTTGTTTGGAGAAATGAGTCGGATGTGCCTCAGTGAGGTTATTCTGCGATGTCCATCTGTTGGTTACTTGTTTTCATTCCCTTTTACTGGCTAACAACATTAATCCTTTTTCCCTGCATTTATCCAGCCAACTACTCCTCCTTTCTACACGCTTCTTGTTTCCAACAACTCACAATTGTGCGTATTTTACGGAACCCTACGACTAGAAAGGCTCTTTTTGTGGGTTGCGGTCTGCAACTGTTCCAACAGTTTGTTGGCATCAACACTGTGATGTACTACAGTGCCAGTATTATATCAATGGCCGGAATCGGCGCGGGTGCAGATGCCAAAAATCGTGATTCTACTGCAGTCTGGCTGGCTGCACTGGTCGCTTCTGCCAACTTCGCATTTTGTTGCATCAGTCCGTGGTTGATTTCTCGTCTGCGGCGGCGGACTTTGCTCTTGGGGAGTTTGGTTGGCGTGTTTGCTAGTCTGGTTGTCTTGGGAATTAGTTTTCAACTAATCGCGTCGTTTTCTGTCCCAGTGGACCTTGTGGAGCAGATCCCGCTGGTTGGAGACGTTGGACAGTGCCTTAAGGCGTAAGTCAATTCATCCAGAGGTTTTTCACAACGGGGTTTGATGTATTATGTTTTCGCTGATTATGAAACTAAGACTAGTGGACCGACTGTTTTTCAGTGAAAACTAGTTTGTTCGCATTCAGATACCCTTGGTACGTACAAACTACATCTGTCGTTACAGAGAGGGCGCACTGCACATACAATTAGTGTGAAAGAATTTGAATAGTCTCCAACTGTGATAACTTGATAAGTCAATGGGATTCAACAACTCAGTGTTTTCATTTTTCGCACGGTGTGCAGCTGCTTGGGGAATTTACAAAAACAACCTTCTTCTAAACGTTCTTTCCTGGGAAGCGCAATATTTGAGCTTCGCATTTGCAGGTACGCTGATACGATACGAAGGAAGTGGGGTTTTTTGTGGGTTATTCCCATGTGAAGTGAACAGAACCAAATGCTTTCAAGGCGTGAGTTGGAAATAAGAACGACACAGTATCTTCAGCACTAATTTTTTGGCTACACGAAGTCGACCATAGTTGCTTTAGACGGGTTGTCGAAGGCAACATATTCAGGGGCCAAGCTTGGTGAGCTGTTATCTTTGCGAAGGGAGTGAAATCGTGTGCTATGGTTGCACCGGGGCTCAGTTTACTGTCTCTTCCAGCGATCATGAATACGGTCTGCGCCTTGTAGTTCAATTTTGTCGAGTGTTTCAGTCCCTCCGTAGTTCCCACACAAATTTCTGCTCCACCTGACAAGCGACTTGGTTGGGGAATCTTTAAGTACTTTTTCGAACGGTCAATAGTTCATTGCTCAGGTTACGTGGAAGATAGTTCAGTTATCAGTATCATCTCCCATTAGGGTTGTACCCGCCTTTCTTCTTTCAAAATCCTGTGCTACCATCAGCTTAGTGGTTGGTTCAGGTGCACATTAATTTTTCACCGAACTTGGCAATTGGCTCGCAGGTCAACGGTCACCTTACCAACCACTAGTAAATCTATCCGAATTGCTAATATGTTGACGCATTACCATGAAAGTGCAAGTGATCATCTGTTCAGGAAAAAGGCGTTTCTTAAATTTCGCCGACTTCCCACCTGAGAAAACTTCCCTCGAGTAATTAGTTAATAAATGGCCATCTGGCGTGAATTATTTGACAGTAGAATGGGTGACACTATATCCTCTGTGAGTGCGAATTAGTTGTACTGCTGGTCGACCGATCCTGGCCTAAAGATATAGTTTCCAAGCGTCAGTTGGCAGGTTGCCGGTTCGAGTCACATTAAAGGTGACACTAAATCACACTATCGGTGATTTACATCAACTACGTAACGGCTGTTCGGCGCTGCTAGATTTTTCAGCTCACTTACAAAGCAAAAGCTCCACTGAGTATTTTTATGCACCCATGAAAATTTTCAACGGACAGCTCTTTCATCTGCGCTTGCTCAACAAGTGATGCTCCAGACGTTCTTGAATGTAATCTGTTCCATTGATTCACATACTTGTGGGTGTCTGAGAATGCACGGGAGCCTCTGTAAAATCTCAAAAGATCTAGTGCCACGCAACGATACTCATTCTCTCCATTTTTGTCTACCTTCACTATGGACGAAATGGTCAAGGATGTTTGGGACCTCGATGATCAAAAAGCGCAAATTAATCGTCAGTATACGCTCACTCGGCATTTGCTTTGAACCCACAGAGTTCAAAGTCTTAACACGCCGGTTGCAATTCTTGGAGAAACGCTGAAAGTTGTAGTGTTCTTTGTACCTCGGTGCTTGTATTGTTAGGCCTCAATGATCGCATGTATCAGGCCATAACGCAAGCTGTGTCGTGCATTTGTGAGGTTTGAGCTCGCCGGGAGGATGATCGGGGCCTCCTTCGGGTTTTCGATGTCGTGAGTACGTTGTGGTCAACCAATTCGTAACGAGGTATTGGAAAATTATCTGTTTGTTCAGCTGGTACCTCATTTGCGAACAATACTTAGTATCAATTACTGATGTGACCCGCTTATCTACTGTATTTGTCGAATCTACATCTACCGAAGCAGGCTTCATTCTTTTTGCTTCCATCAGAGTGGTATAAACGGAGAAGTGGACTTTTGGTATGACAAAAGGATTTAGAAATCATTAACAGCTTGGTCTCGATAACTTATGCCGCGCTGGTAACGCTGCGAAGAATGGCGGCTAACAGATGTCAGCGATGTTCGTGCCGACAGTTTCTGACCAGTGTTTTAGTGAGCTTTTGGTTGTGTAGGTACCTAATAGTGATTGTTGTGTTCTACCATTGGGTCTTTTTTTACACCTTACAGTCCCAATAAGCACCAATTTCAACACTGATATTCTGTCCAACCTGGAGCACATCATACCGCTGTTAGACGAATGCGGATCACATCATTGCAGGGTAGTATCGAATAGTTTATCTCCATAAGATTTGCTGCCACTCTGTGCAGTCCGATACTATCCATAGCTCTAGGCACTTAATTGGCGACCACTTTTCACTTTATCGAAGTTAAATCAACTAGTATTATTTTTGGATCCTTGTCGAACTCTGTTCTCTGTTGCATCCCATAGTTCTACTTGTGACACCTGCATGCGTACCACGATGTGTGGGTTCTGTTACAATTGGTACGGCAACAATGTGGTCAACGGTTCCTGTCTTCCGGCACCCGAGCGGTTCGCGGAGTACTCCTCTTACGGTCGGTGTGCAAATGGAGTAAGCGCGTTGCTTGCTACACGTGTTGACCTTTTCATCTTCCATCCTCTCAGATTGTTAACATGCAGGTATGCAATACGCTGTCCCTTCAAATTGAAATGACGGTCACCTGTCAGATCCCTAGTTTGTGATGCCATGCCTACTGGCAGTTTATGCTTTATGTAGCATGGTAGTAGCCTCCCTTGCGTAGATGAATCATCTATGAGGTTTGTGGGGATTACGCTACAAACAGGAATTCTTACAGTTAGTATGGTTCACAATCGCAATAAAGCTCTAGGTAGCTCAGTGATGAAGCCGTGAACTTACTGACCGGAAGCTTCATGGTTCCAACCCAACCCCGGCATTTTTATTGCTCCTGCCTAAGCTTGGGCATCTTGACAGTATCTCAGCCCTGTTGCTTCCTTCGTGTGGTCGGGCAGCTACGCACTGAAACAGTGTTTGATTGACTTAAGTCGTTGTCGTTGACAGTAGTAACCCCCCTTGCTTCCTTCGTGTGGTCGGGCAGCTACGCACTGAAACAGTGTTTGATTGACTTAAGTCGTTGTCGTTGCTTCTGCTGGTTGTATGTTAAGTCGTCCAGTTATTTGTATGCGTGGCCTATAAATTCTAACGTTTTACCGGGGTGTGCAAAACCGAGAAGTCGATAACCGGGTTTCTATACGATTAGAACAAGGTAAACCAGCTTGGAGGATATGGTGGTATTAATTTTGGCCGGGGCTAGTTGCAGCCAGAAATCACAGTAGGGACTCCAACAATTGCTGATACGTCCAATTCACTTTATTCCGATTGTCACTCACAAGCTGATAAGTCGGTGCCTCGGATTGTTGCAGTTCCCATACGGTGACCATAGGCCAAATAGCCTCGCAGGATTAACCCCTTGTAATTTTAATGTACTGTCCTGTGTTAAGTCCCAATTGTGAGAGTTTAATCGTGACACGTTGATATCGTTGAAGATGTCTACATCGGATCGCTGCGGGGAAACGTCTTCTGACTTAGTCAAATGTGCCCTAACCTTCCACCATGTTGTAGATACCAGTAATCGAGTAACTTGACTCACGCAAGGGTGAATCGCAGGTTTTGTGGGTATACAATAACGCGGTTCGAATGTAAGCGCCAAATACACATAACTATACCTCTAGCTTGTTTGTTCCCACACGAATATCTAGTTTATGTGAACAAGACTTTTTTCTTGACCGTTCAGTTGAATGACTGCATTCAGACATTTGGTCCCTGTGTGATCACTTTCAAGCAAACGAAGGTTGGACTGGTATTCAAGTCCATTCAAGTTGGAGGATTTCGTCTTGCAGAATTTGTATTTCACGAAGCCAACTGACTGAAACGACCTAAAACTGCTTACAATTATGTTGCCGCCAAACATTATTGTCTTTAAACTAGCCCGGGTTTTGTGGCTGAACATTTGGGTAGCAAAATGAAGCTTACGTTCATCCAGTTGGTTGCGGCGATGGACAGTAGTAGTAATGAAAAACAGTCTTGTCATCCACTGGATTCTAATGAGTACCGTCTCCTTTGTCGATTCGGATAAGGGTTCCCATATTTTGAGCTACTTGTGCTGATTAGGGTCAGTGGCTTGTCAGATATGGCACTTGCTCTTGAGGTGGACCAAAGTTCAGTGGATACGTGGAGGCGGATTATATAATTCAATGGGTTAACCTGGAGTAGCGCCACAGGTCTGAAATGATCAACTGATTTTAATCGGATCCTGTACTGCCTACCTAATTTCACGATGCATCATATGCAGAGGTTCTTGTGCACAGTTCGGGATGCAGGTGCCTAAGGGAAATCCCGCTGGACCGAAAAAAAACTTGCTAAGGGGATAAGGAAAGTTACGTGATCAGGCTAGGAGCAGTTATTTTCTCTAGGACTTTGTAGTGAATGGGTTCAAGTTTCAACACCGTGCGCTTGCGTGACACATGAAACTGTTCGAGGTGAGAAATATTTGGATAGGTGGTGGAATGAAAAGCCTAACTGGCTGAGTGAACCATGTTATCTTAGGTTTAAATTTAACTCATAAATTTCGCAAATTGACAGTACCTTAACCCGTCATGTGCGACTGTTTTTCAGTTGCTCAAAGTGATTTCTGTTAGACTTGGTAGTAACTTTAGGTTGGAAGCTTGGATCAACTGGGCAGAAGATTGTAGATGTAAAGGGACCGTAACCTTATTTAGTCGAAGAACGGTTTGATGGTAACAGTATCCCATGACAAGAATTTCTTAGATCGTTTTAAAATACCAACTAACACCTCTCACACCCACGTGTGATACAATAGGGTTTGGTTTCGTCTCCGTGCATATTTTTTGTCTACTCTTTGGACTATACTAGTACGGAAAGCATTTTTCTAGCGCTGTACAATCGGTGTAATTCACGAACGGTTGTTTCCTGTTGCACAAAGTTCACTTCAGTCTGACATTCGTTTCGCTTCGCACCGATTGACTACGACATGTCCTCCTGCACATTCTGTCGTATCGTTAGAACCTTTGATTTCAAAGGTTCTTAGCTGTCCGAGTATTTTTTGCTTTGTATGTGAGGGCGGATACAAGATCAGGAATCCGACCTGTTGGCTTCGGGTAACGAATGGTATTACCCTCAGGTGAATTCATTTTGTTTGTTACTCGAACTTCAAGGCTTGAAGCATAATCAAAGCAAGCGAAAATATAGAACTGGACCACAGAATATACGAATTAATACACTTCTAATTTCTGTTCCAAATAGCTCTTCTCGAGCTTACTATCTCCATTTTTGCTTTCGTATTTCGATGATGGAAACATTGCTTTCCACCCAGATACCCGCAACGGGGCGCAAGTTATCTAAAAACCGTTTATTGACGATATATGTTTAGCGATCGCGTCTCAGCACAAGACTCGTGTACTTGCATTTTTCAGTGTATCTTTCTCTCCCCTTTTGTTCTGTTGAAATTCCAGACCGCTTCACAGGATACCATCTGGGCCTTTGACCATTGTCCAACACCCTATGGATGGATGACTGTCCTGGGACTCATCATGTACCTGGCTTCGTTTGCCTCAGGTATGGCACCACTACCGTGGACCATTAACTCAGAACTTTATCCTACATGGGCTCGGAGCACAGGTGTTGCATGTTCTACGGGAACCAACTGGATCGCTAATGTGATCGTTAGTCTTTCATTCTTGTCTCTAACTGAGGCCATCACAAGGCAAGGTAAATTGGGGAAGGTGCCATTTGTCATGTACTTTTTTGTCTTTATCTTCTATAGATTTTGCAGCTGACTTTTTGAGAACATAAGGACAAACCTGGTTCTGGCCATTTATAAGAATTCGTAAAACACTTCTCACCTGAATTCGTCGATGAGACAGGTCCATGCATTTAAAGGAATTGGTCCTAACTACCCTCTTTCAGGCTTGATTGCCTGACTATGCACTATGAGTCGTTCGTTCTAATGTGGTTGAAAGTCATTCGTTTCCTGACGTTATAGATAGTTATCTTTACAAGTAGTTCAGAGGAAGAATGAAATTCATCCGATGAGTGGGACTTCCATCTGAACAGTCCTGGCCTGAGCAGCCAGTCATCATATGTGACCACATGATGTGGATCCTGTGATTAAAGGATGAACGGTGCTGTATTCTGTCTAAATGTGAGTTACGAACAGTCCTGGCTTGGGGAGTCAGTCATCATGTGACCACGTGATGTGTATCCTGCGATTAAAGGATGAGCGGTGCTGTATTCTGTCTAAATGTGAGTTAATCACACTGCTGATCAACAGCTTGTGGACGAACACTTGTTTTCAAACTACTAGGTGGGAGGTCGCAGGTTGGAGATCCCAGAGTTTCGTGAGATGCGCACTGCTGATGGTTCCCAATAAGGGTGAAACAGCTGTACGGTGATTTTCGGCTCTTAAGCATAGATTAGCTCCAACTACAGGACGAAAGCTCCATAAAAATTCCCAAATCTTTTTAAACTACCAGCATTTCTTTTTCATTCCAAGGCATTGTTGTAGCAATGCTTGCTTTGCAGTCAGTGATCACTCGAGCAGCCACTTGGTACCAGGTAAAGTGCTGTGAAATTTTTGGTCGGAGGATTATTAGTGCTGTGTCCGTCCAAGTGCTCTCACTACTGATCAGTATTCCATAGGTCAGTTTTAATGTTTACACCCTATCTGCAAGGTTTTCAGTTGGAATGATTCGAGAGATTCGTGAGTTGTCCATATTTGATGATTTTAACTCTTGTTGAAATGGTTACAGTGCTTTTTAGGTTATCTGTATAGGCTGTCTTCATTTGCGGGATGAACCTGTTTATCAGGTTATAGTATATCTAGGAATAGATAGCTGTAACCTAGAAGGCGTGTTTTAACTGAAATGGCCTCGTTATTTCCCTTGGACTCAATGCTAAGTAACCCAACGATGAGAGATTAGTGGATGAAATCCCCTTGCTCCCCTGAAAGGTATCTGCATTCAACGGTCACACATCACATTTTGTCATGGATTTACACTTCCATGCTGGTCTTTGACCTGATGTTCTGCCCACCATGATGTGTCGAAAAGCCTCTAATGGAGGAAAAGTAAGGTTATGAGGGAATCCCCACAAGGTCAAGCTGAAGCTTTCGTGATGTGGCTGGTAGCGCACGGGTGAAGATGCTCGATTCCTACTGGCCCATATTCTGACCATCATCATCATCATTGTCAGCTGTAATAACCGCGTACGCGTCGTACAGTGGTTGCAGCTGCCGCAGTTTCGTTCACCGATGATTTGGGGGAGGGGGCAGGTAGCTGCGCATTGCAGGCGCGAGCTGGTAAGTTGGTACACAAATCCAGCACTGTCAGTGGACTGTCAAGTGGGGGGTTGGAAAAGGAGCTATGCATTGAAGGCAATTGCTTTGATGCACGAGCGCCATTGAGGGCGCGACTGGACCATGTCTGATAATGTCTGCAGCCATTGATGTGGCCCGTCTCGGGGTCCCCATCCAGGAAGACGGCAATTACCAGCGCAGCTGACCAATCAGGATGTTCTTTTTTTGGACCATAGTTGTTTCGCGACACGCCTGTTCGGTCGACGTGATATTTGTTTATTTTGAGTGGATCGCCTCAAAAAACCTCATCTTCATCCTGTAGTGAGCATTACTGATCATCAACATAAACAAGACGGCCCTCTTCGTTCTTTGATCTCAATGGCCTGCTGTTCCATCGAGCTCAACCTCGACCGTGGTAGCAGCTCATATGCGGTGGTTCTAGTGATTATATCTCTGGTTTGTTGCTGAAGCAGGCAGGCTGGTTCGATTTCGAAGGTTGTCTACTTCGTCTGTGCCTGCCAACCACTCACCGCTTCCGATTCAGACATGAATAATCAATTGTTTCCTTGTTGGTTTGTCCACTGCTGCTTTACACGATGATTGGTGGTGCAGCTTTGCCACATTCAACAGACAAGCAATTTGCAGCCACGCATACTTGTTAACTTACGGTTTTTGTGGTTTATAACATTTGCATTTGGTGCTATTCTAGGTTTGCATCTTGATATTTGTAATATATTGGTGCTGCGTTGAGTAGAGACAGCCTTCATTTCATACAGACTAAACAAGTCTTCCAACTGCTGTTACTTCTAGGTGCGTATTTTCTGTACGCATGCGTCGCAGTTTTGGCCATCATTTTTGTTTGCTATTGCGTACCGGAGACTGGTAACATGACTTTGGAAGAAATTAACGTAGACGTGAACGGTGAACGAGGCCTTTCCTGCTCATCTGAATCGTCCCCATTTTCAGAACCCTACTTTCTCCTTAAAAAAACCAACAGGCAGTTGTCTTTCGATGGCGATCCTCTTTACTTGTGGCGAAATCAGGAGCTTTACATCTGACTGATTCAATGTTTTATGCTGTATTTTGTTGACTTCTTTCCGACTTTTCTATTTTTTTCATACGCGCGGAGTTGGCGCACCTTTTGTACCTATGGAATAAACTTAGTAACGTATCAGCAATGTTTGGTCGGAGTATTGTTGCGAATAAGTTCTGGGGTGCACTGCGTGATTAATTCCTCTGACCACTGTTTCTAATCCAGGAACATTCGAACTCTGCAAAGCAAAATACATCTTAACGTCAAGGTTATGTGCCTACAAATTTGCGGCGGGTATACAATGTTGTAAAGGTGGCAGAAGTACGCATCGAAATTTACATACAGCGCATTCCTTCGCAGCGCTTACCTTTCTGCGGTTACCGCTGTTGATCATTCTCATCAGACCTCTATCGCGATCTTACGGTATGATTGCAACGGCGAAACCAGTAGCTTCCAGCGAAACGGTGACATGTGTTTTATTTCAAGAAAATGTACTGAGATGTGTCGAATGTCATGCCAAGTAAATCATTCATTTAAAGAGTAGCATGAACGAGATATTCGGCTGGATCTCTCGTTAGCACCAATGTGAGTTGCAAATGAGTGTATTTTCCCAGTTGCGTACAGCTCAATATTCTAGCAGGATATAAAGTTGTTGGAAACTCAAGGACTACACCCACCTGATGAACTCAAAGAAGACGAAATCATTAGAGGGCTATTAGAGAGTTTTTAACATCGCTATTTGTGTTATGTTACGTGGAGGTAGGAAATAGTTCCGTTGAACAGAGGGGGAGTTAGGAATAGAAGGACAGAGGGTCCTAGGCTTGTCATGTGGCCATGGTCCTAGCGATAACATTGAGAGAGACGCTGCATCTGGTTAATGCGAGTGTCTGTAGAACGAGAGCCCATGAGGCGCACAGCTTTACGTCGCAAGCTACCTTAGTGAAGGCCATACAAAACAATCACCCTACGGATGACAGTAGTATTTTGTAGGAGAGCGGACCAAAAGCCTATACAGGGAGTTATGGAAGTTGGCTTTATTGGGGGCTCGTGTTGTCATTACTTTCACCTGCGTGGACCTTTTGAGACTATTCCAAACGAGTAGACGGAGAAGTGATCAATTTTTAGGTCAATGAATCATTTTGGAATCAATAGTGACCAGAAAGTTGGCGGGGGATGAGAGATTTATGTGGTGGTTTGGTGTGGTGGAACGAGCATGATTGTTAGGCCGACTCACCGTACGTGTTCATCGAGACTTTGAGATGAGACAGTCAGCATGAGAAATTTGGGTTTCACTGAGAACACAAGCAAGAGGGCAGGTCGTCGATAAACAGGAGGAACAGAATCCAGAGAAGAAAAGAGCTTGTAGGCCCAAGAGAATTCGCTGCATCGTTTTTTTGGAAACATGCCAAATCTAGGTTATGCAAAAGGGTTACTGGGAGCCATACGATCAGTCCGTACTTAAATGACTATAAAGATAGGAATTTCGCAACGTGAATTGTCTACACCACATTCTCACTAGCTGGACGGATGCTTAGTATCTCCGGGCGGAGTGTGTTCGTGTTTGTCCATGTGAGTATTTATCATAGACTTGGAGGTGCTACATTTGGAAACCCAAGGTATAAAATGAACTATATGATCATTTCGAACATCAGTTCTGGATAGGAAAGTGTGCGGCATCTCAGCAACGTTGGCGTTTCTAATCGTGTTAAGTGTGACAGTGAGAATACTGAATGCTGGTACGTACGAGGAGCTGCTTTATGTGAAGAGCATCAGGCGTACAGACTTGTCCAAATGACAGCCGTGTCGCTGAGTTTGAATGTGTGCGTCCTTATCTACTTGCGTTTATACAGCACTCTCAGGAGTGCTCAACTGATTGAAGGAGAGCATTTTCGTAGTCTCGATTGTCTGTCTCCTATACTTGTTGTGTTGAGGCCCTAATGGAGTCGGAAGCTGTTAAGGGATTCAATGGATGGCCCTTGTCAAGGAGGCACTTTGTTTTACCCTCATGGAGTTGCCAGTACCGGAATTCACGAATATATATATAT